TTTTAATACCTTTGTGTGTACCTCAAAATTTTAAAACATATTCCAATCTTCTTTAAAATTTTCTCTTCATAAACCATTAAAAGTCTTTTAGGATTTTAGTGTCTCCCTTGAGAATTTCAAATATCTCTACATTATCATCAAACCCTTGGAGGCGACAACCTATAAGGTGATCCATGTTAGGACTATGTTGTCAATTAATGAATGAACTTTTTCTTGTCCATGATGGCAGAGGTTCCCACTTTAGATTGTGTAAGAGAAGATGATTTATGATGACGTAAATTTATGAGTATCATCGGACCTACATAAGAATAATTAATGGTTTTGTTTTGGCTTTTGTCTTCTCTTTTAATAAAGCATATTCTATTGATAAATAAATGAATAATATGGTGATGAAAGATCTTTATATAAATACCCAAACTCTAGAGATTGTTGTTAATTATTACAAAGTGCTCTCCATTATTGGTCTACACTTCATTGTGAACTCAAGCTCCATGATATGTCATGGATCAACATCTTGAATATCTTCTTGCACTGCAACTTTATTTTATTTTAGGATATCTAGATGAAGAAGGTGGAGGCCAGAGAGGTGCAACAACATTTTGCAATGAGGTTTTCCTCATAGCGTAGATTATAGGCTCAACAACATTATTTTCAATGTAAAATTTTAACCAAGATAGATCCTCATCATCAAAACCAAATCATATTGAGTTTGGAATTCATCATCTTCATCTCTAATCAACCACTCTATATTAGTATCAATATCATTCATGAGCATATGATGAATCACATCATTATTATCATAGTATTTTTTCAAAGTCTCGTTATACATAAATGACAACCAATTTTTGCAACATCTAATGTTTAAAGACCTCATAAAAATGGAAGGTAATCGTGTAATAAAATGTGTCGCCGCCCCTTTGTGGATGGAAAAATCAATCCTCTTAAAAATTATGTCCATAGTTCTAGGAGACACAACATTTCTATGCATGAGCCTTTGGAATCTCTATAGAAGATTCACTGCACGAGATTCTAGGAAACTAAAAAATTTAAAATACAAATGGTATAAAAGAGGTTGAGTGTCAAAACATGCTTTCTAATATTTGAATGCTTTACTTGAAGGGACTTTTAAGACTTCTTGTCCCATAGTAAATTTTTGTGTCCTTAGTCCTATAAATGGGGAAACCCTAGTCAAGTTTACATATGCATGTCCCTTTCTTATTCACTCATACACCAGAACATATGTGTTGGCTGAAGATTTTGATAATGTTATTTAGAATTCAAAAGAGTTAAAAGTTCTGATCGAAGTGGAATTAAACGCCATATTTCGAAGTTGCAGAAGCAGTGTTTCGAATAAGTGTGTCAAAGCTTGAAGCTTCGAACGGTGATTTTGGGAACATATCCAAAGGGGTCTCGAAACAACAGCGAGGCTAGGTTTGGGAAGAGCGTTCGAAACGGAGAAACACCAAAGAATTTAAAATTCAAATGGAAGCGGGACTTTCAAAGTTTGAAAGTTATGTGTTGGAGCATTTGGGGACACGTGGAAAGATGAAAGAAGCATTGTCTTGCATGTTCGAAACGTGGCATGATCCTATAGCGAGACCGTTAGGGTCGAATTAGTATAAATAGAAGTCTTAGTATTAGGATTTCAGTGTGTCATATCTGTTATACAAAATACTCAATAACATTCAAACTACCACATGGCAAGGGAAACGAATGCAAGAGAAATGTATGTATGATAGCACCATGTATTTCTAACTTAATGAAAGCCTTTTTACCATTTCCAGCACTTTCTTCTTTTCTTTTTATCGAATAACGTTTGCAAGTTTCTTTATTTACTGTCTTTTCATTTCAAAGTCTTTTCCTCAAAGTTTTACGTTTTACTGCTTTCTTTATACTTCGGGCACTTTATATTTCAGAGAACTGTTACACTTTCAATACCTTTACTTTCAAGCATTGTTTTTTCAAGCGCATACTTTTACTTAAAATCATTTATAGATTTCTTGCATTAAACGCTTTCTTCACATTTTAAACTTCTACATTCCAGAAACCTTTTATGCTAAATGTTTTGCAAATCGAAACCATTTACTTCATTTTTCATACAGTTTTATATGTCTCTTCAATCAGCATTACGATTAGCATTTATTCGTATAACTTAGTTTTCATATACATTTTGACCACATTTTCAAACTCTTAGAAAGAGGGATCGAAATAAACCAAACACTTGTACAATAGCAACCATGAATAATTGTTCGATTGTGAGAGTAACCTTAATATCCAAGGAGTCCTAGGATCAATCTAGTCGATCCTGTGAGTTACCAGAGAGATTGAATAGCGTTAACAAAGATTATTCGATAGTTTGGAAGACTAGCGGTTGTTTACCAGAAATCACTGGAAACAATATGTTGGCCTATATGTCAATCTTCCATCTCGTGGGTCAGTCAAGAAATTAATAGGTGCCTATTTCTTCGTAGATATTCATGACCTGTCAAAAAGGACATCCTTAACAATATTTTCCCGGTATTTGAAGCTCTAAATTTACCTACAATGAGATGAGTGTCCCCCAAAGGTATCCAAGTCCTCTTTACGACAAATAGGGAAAACCTTACTAATAAGAAATAAAGCTATCAAAAGGCCATATGTAAAGATAATATAATACTCTACCATTAACATATGATGGCCTAACCCATCATAGAAATATATAGGATAAAATTATAATCATGAATTATTTTCAAACAACCAAAACTACTTTCAGTCTTGTGGTCATGTCAAACTTTATTTTTATGTTCTGGACACTTTTATTAAAATGGGAACTCGCCAAAATATTTTGGACTTTAAGGGGATGATGTCATTTATAGTAAAACTGCTAAGTCAAAATTTTACCACTAAGACCATTCAAAATGCTCTCAAAATCAAAGTTCATACCATATCTTTTATTTTCTCTCAACATCAAACATTACCTACTCATATACTCAAAACTACCCCAATTATGTTTAAACTCAATAGTTTAATGGTAAGAAATTACATATTTGGTGTCTAACTCTACAACTGGTCTAAAATCAAGGGCATAGTTGTATATAGGGACAATGATGGTTGTAAAGGCCTCTTTAATATTTTTATAGTTGTGATTTAGATCACTCCCACCTCTACATTAATTGAAGGTGCATTAACTACATCAATCAGAGATACACTAACACGTATTACGATGGAAGACATTTGCTCTACTATAGAGCTATCATGACTTCTATCCCCACTAATGATGACAAATGATACTCTTACTTTTAATGCTAAAGTACAAAAAAAATTCAAAAAAAAAGTTTTATAAATAGAAGAAGTTATATAATTATTATACTAGTATCACTAGTACAAAACGCGCATACAACAAAGTCACCACGATTTGTCCAAACATGTGGTGATATCTCCAAATTCAGGCGCTAATATTTTTTTAATTTTTTAATTAAAAATTATAAGGGTATAATAACAGTTGATGGAAACGCCTGGTGATACCATCAAGCTTCATGATTTCCAACCTCATCGCCCTCAAAATTTTTATTCCTTTAACGTTAAGGCGCACCTTTTCTTTTTTATTTATATTTAAATAAAAAATAAAAGGTATATCACTACGGTTTACAGTTTGGATCGTGGTGGTATCTTTATATATATATATATATATATATATATATATATATATATATATATATATATATATATATATATATATATATATATATATATATATATATATATATATATATATATATATATATATATATATATATATATATATATATATATATATATATATATATATATTATAACTTCTAGCTATCTTGTCTCTTCAGTATCCATTTTTCCACTAAAAAAGAAATAAGATGATACCAACCCTAACACCAACACAATTGTCATTGTCGAGAAGGAAGACAACACTGACACTGTATTATCCTTTACGCTACGTAAAATATTTTTGCCATTGTTATGGATGTTGTTGTTGTTAATCTTTTATTGTTGTTGTTTAGTTTTGTTTCAATGTCGCATTTGAAGACAAACTCATCCAAAAGTATTTCTATGTCTTCTTCTTTTGTAAAATCTCGATCTGGAAAATTATGTGGTTGTGATGGTCGTATGGTTTAGTACCAATGCAAGAAGTGACAAAATAAAGGAATGCTTTTTTGGAGATGCCCATTTTGGAGGAGTGATACGACATGTAATTTGTTCATATGGGATGAAGACATGGGAGAAAAGGTGGAAATGAAGATGGGAGCATTATAAAGTCAGAGTTGGAAGCTATGGAAGTTATGGGCTATTTGAAGGTTATGTATGAAGATTCAAAGAAGAAGTACAAGAATTTGAAGAACAAACTAAAATCAGAAATATTGTCTAGAAATTTGAAGATGTTATGCTTTGTCATCTCCTTATGTTTAATATTTACTTTGTTATAAAATGTAATAGTTGAAGTTATGTTGAAACTGCAGATGCAGTAAACTTGACAGGAATGCAACTAATGCAATGCTGTCAAACGATTTCTTACGAGTAAGTTCATCACAAATTTTTGCATTTTTAATTACAATTATCTTTCGAGTAGTTATTTGTGTGTATATAAGTAAGTTTAATAAGTTAATAGATTTTGTAGCTGATAGTTTCAGCTGATAGTTTAAGTTGATAGTTTAAGTTGATAACCTTAAGAGTTGACCTTAAGAGTGTGAGAAAGCCCTAGTGTTAAGCAGAAAGATTAAGCTGAATAAAACTTTCATTACATAAACCTTACAGAAGGCCTTAATAATCATATATAAATCCTCTAATAGAGAGAAAGTTTTACCAAGTATAATCTAATTCATCATCATCAGAATCGAAAAAAAAATCTTTTGCCTTCTCACCCTTCTTATTTTTCTTTTTCTTCTTGATCTCTTCTGCCTAAGAGCTCTCCTGGGTCTCAACAGTTTGGTTGCACAAGAGCGGCCTCTTTCCTCTTCTTAATTATGAGGAAGGTTTTGCACAAGAGCAACCTCTATATCCATATCATCTTCTGTTCTTTCACCATTGTTGGAAGCTCTCTCAGCATTGTAAGAAGCTTCAGTAGAAGTACTCATTTTGATTCTTCTTCTTCTTTGATTTCTTTTGATGAAGTTCTTTTTGTGTTTTGGTTCAAAGAGTAATTCCGCTTTTATATTGTTTCTTATGACTCTTCATATTCTCTGACCCTTGAAAGTCTAAAAGCCAAAAGATTTCATGCATGTCAAGTTTGCTCATTATTGGTTCTTTAATTCCTTGAGTTGTTGAACGATTATATCTACTTGTCTTTTCAAATTTCTTTTTCCCTTCTTTGATATTCCTTCGTACGTATAGTTTGATGTAATAATGTGCACTTAATGGAATTGTGTCATTGATGTAATACAAATGGTGTATTGTTGATTCTTGAATGATATAAATGGGATTTATTCAAAAACAATATCAAAATGGTTATTTGTCACAATCGTTGTTATAAGGCGTGCGATTTCTAGTTTACTACAATGGTCACTAGATCGTGATTGAAAGTAACACATATACAAACACACGCTACATAATAATGTCTGGACCTGCGTGATTATATATCTTTTCCAACCATTGCTAAAGGCCTTTTTCGTAGTAGTGTATGTGATATGCCTCAAGCATACAATTATACCATAGTAGTAAAAATATCATTTTGCTAGAGACTGTTTGGATTACTGATTTTTTACTTGTTCGATGATTAGCTAAAACTAGGTGTTGGTTGATTTGGTTGATTAATATTTTTTATAAAGAATAACCTTAAGACTATTATAAAATAATTATGAGTTAGTCATGCAAAATCTCGTTTCCCCTATGTAATGATAATTCAAAAATTTCAGAAATAAAATAGATAAAAATAACCATATCTCCTTTTAAAGCATGTGATCATGCCTTTAATTAATGAATCACCTACTTTTGTAGTATTGACCATTCCTTCAGGATCCTTTAAGAAAATCTATTTTTTAAAAGTGATGAATTTTTCTTGATTAACTCAGAGTCACTTTCATAGCCATGATTTAATTGTTCGACTCTTTAGATCGAATATCATTCCTCGCGTATTAGTGTATCAACTGATATATGATGTTATCCTATTTCATAGAGATATATGTGAAAAACACTAAAAGGTCAAAGCAATCTTATATTTTCTCATAACAAAAATTTGAACTATAAGTCTACACGAGGTTTGTTGTTTAGACAGTCCTCACGATCCTAAGTCAACGATGAAATTACGTACTCATTGTAATATAAAGCACAAAAATAATTATAAGCATACACATTTTACAAGTAAAATAATAAGTAAGTAAAGGCAAGAATTATAGAACCTGTTATTTAAAATGCAGAAAATAAAAGCAACAAATATTGTTCTTCAAATTACATAGGAAATGGAAATTGGAGAGAAAACTAAAATTATGTAGAATGTCTAGAGTGAATCTCAGCTAAATGATGTTTACAACATGATTATATAGTCTATATGACCTAATAATGCCCAATAATTAACAGTAAAACCTGTGGACATATATGGTTGCAGGTATGACCATCAATTAGATTTTGATGTTGACAATTGATGAAGTAGCAATTTTGAAGATAACAATTCCATAGGTCAAATGACTTATGGATTATGAGAGTTATATGTGACAAGAGAGTTAATTTCAACTATCACACTAAATCCTAACCACAGATAACCAGTTGGCTTTTAGGCAATTGATGGATGACAGCAACCACAATATGATAGGGGTGTTAGCGCAAACCATGCAGGAAATATTTGCCCCAATAGTTCAGAATGTGACTGTGGCGAACAGGGAAAACGCTGACAATATGAGTCGAATAGCAGACTTCTTTGCTCCCACAGAAAGACGTAGGCAGAACCAGGCGGGATTTCGAACAAACATGCCTGTCATAGAACAAATTGCTAACAACCCAATTCATAGACTACCCAGGGAAGAAGCTAACTTAGGGGCCAGAGCACCAAGGTTAGAAGCCCCAATAATTCCGGGCCCACAAAGGGAAGTTATGGAACCAGGGGCAAGGATCGAAAGGCCAGAAGCCCCAGAATTTCGAGAAGAACAACCTAGGGGAGTTGTTTTGGTTGGTCGAAATCAAGATGCCAATGCCGTCGTTCATAGGATTCGAAACGATAACATCTTGGCAGAAAATAACCTAACCACCATGATAGAGAGGATCATGGCCCAGAATGGCCTCAATACGGGAATGAGGAGGCCAAATTACGCTTCTCCTATATTGGATTGTATAATGCATACTGATTTACCAAGGGGATACAAAGTCCCTAAATTTACAAAGTTCGCTGGGGATACCAACGAATCAACAGTCGAACACATAGCGAGATATCTAACCGAAGCGGGAGATATAGCCAATAATGAAGATCTCAGGATCAAATACTTCCCAAGTTCCTTAACAAAAAACGCCTTCACTTGGTTTACCACGTTGCCTCCTGGGTCTATTGACACTTGGACCCTTTTAGAGAGATTATTCCATGAACAATTTTACATGGGACAATCGAAAATAAGTTTGAAGGAATTGGCCAGTGTTAAGAGAAAGTTCACTGAACCTATAGATGATTATTTGAATAGATTTAGGCTGTTAAAATCCAGATGTTACACAGTAGTGCCTGAACATGAGTTAGTCGAAATGGCTGCTGGGGGTTTGGATTATTCTATTCGAAAGAAATTAGATACTCAGTATTTGAGGGATATGGCTCAGTTAGCCGATAGGGTTCGACAGGTCGAAAGACTAAAAGCCGAAAAGGCCCGAGTCTTTAAGAATAGTAAGAAAGAAAGGATTTCCTATGTTGGGACCGAGGAAGTAGAAGAATATCCTGAATTCGAATTCGAAGAGGTCGAAATCGACCTCGCTGAATTAAAACAGGCCCCACCTTACTCCTGCAAAATGTTAGTTCCCACGAAAGGGAAAGATATTGTTGAAAATGAGAAAAGTGACAAGTTTCCAAAGAAGGTTTATACCTTCGACGTCACTAAGTGTGACGAAAATTTTGACTTGCTTGTCAAGGATGGCCAACTAATTGTGCCATCAAATGTCAAAATACCTCCCTTGGAACAGAGGAAGAAGAGGGGATTTTGCAAATATCATAGTTTCCTAGGCCACAAGACCTCACAATGTTTTCTTTTCAGGGACTTGATTCAAAACGCGATCAAAGATGGCAGACTAAAGTTTGCTGATAAGGTGAAGATGAAAGTGGACGAAGACCCCTTGGACGTTGCAGACACCAACTACTCCGAGCCTGCATGCATTGGAGAGGTCAACATGGTGGAAACTGATCGAAGCGACGCCCTAACAGGAGAGAAGGACACTGGAGTCGAAAACTGGGTGATGGTCGAAGTCAGCGAGGAAGTCACTGAAGACATCCAGAATACGCCAGACACTTCGATTGCTGCACCTGTGGCTGTTGCAGGAGAAACCCAGGCTACTGAAGGCCAAGGGGATCAAAACGAAGGATTGACACAAGTCACTGAGGGCTTGAGGCTGGAATTGGAGAAAGTCCAAATTACGCAGCCAGTTCTCCTTCAGAAGGAAATATGGGACACTCTAGGGGAACCCAGTGGAAAATTTGACTATCTGGTCAAATATTCTGCCCCAGAAAGTTCGAAGGTCCAGATCGAAGATATAAAACCCACAGGATGGGGCGATGACGAAACTAAAGAGGGGGATGTGGAAATAAATATGGTGGATATGGAAAGACCCCGTTCTGAGATGGAGGAAGTGGAAAAATACTTAGAAAAAGAAAAGCACAGAATGGGGGATAATCACACTGGAGATGCTACTCTCAAAGACTATCTCATGACATGCCACAAAGGAGATCCAGGCATGATATTGTGCCCTAGGTGCAGCATCCTCTGCAACCAAAGAATTGCTGCAAATTTTGAAAGGGTACAGAGGGCTCGAACTGGCAACAATTGGCGCCAGGATAACCAACTTTTTAGATGCTATCCCAAGGCTGGAGAGAGTTTGTTGGAGTTTGTTTTTCGCTGCTACAAAGGGGCAACTAAGTGCTTGGTTTGCCCAAGATGTTCTGCTGTGTATGACCAAAGCATGGCCAGGGCCTTCGAAACGATCCCCTTCGCCCCTTGCTGGAACCATCAAGAGACTGCCCAGATGGGCCCGCGTTTCGACAACAGATACAAACAGCGAAGACCTGATAGCCCTCACCCCAAAGTTGCTCGAAGAGTGACTTTCAAACTCCCTGCTGAAGTACCAACCGATAGATGGCTACAAGTCAGAAATGACAAAGGCAAAGACAAATGGAGGGGTGCTGAACGAAATGCACGCCATGCTGTGACATACAGGAGGCAATTCAACACACAAAAAGGGAGGAAGTGAGATTAGAGAATTACAAAGGAAGGAACCCCATGTCAAGATCCCAGTGGCGCAGACAACAAAGGATTCGAAAGGCTGAGAGAGAAGCTGTGGCAAACAAAGGGGATACTTCAACGAAGATACAAGGTGAATCAAGCACCAACAAACCAAAAAATCAGACTGAAGAGAAACCTCCAGTAAATAGGAGGCTTTTTTCTGAAGATCAACGAGACGAACCAAAGGAATACACTCCAGGTCCGGAAGAGGACGAAGATATGATAACAGATAACTTCGAATCGGAGGGGGAGTCTTCATTCAACCTGAACTGTAACGTGGTGTCTGTGCTTCCCTGCGAATTTGGGCAAGAAACCGAAATCAATGAATATGAGGAGGAAGACACCACAGATTTAATGAAACATAGGCCCGTATACTATTACGTGATGGACAATGGGGCTGTTGAGGAACAAAATGCGTTCTTCGAACGTCCAGAGCCTGCAATGAAGAATCATCTCAAGCCACTTTTCATTCGAGCGAAAGTAGGTGTCCATGGTGTGAACAAAGTTCTAGTGGATGGGGGTGCTGCAGTCAACCTGATTCCCCATTTTATGCTAAAAAGGTTAGAGATCCGTGAAGGAGATATCAAGCCCCATAATATGGTTCTATCCAATTATGAGGGAAAAGTGGGCAAAACACTGGGGGTGGTCCAGTTGGAATTGACAATAGGCTCAAGTTG